CATGCAGCTTTGGTCAACTTCTGCTTTAGGAAGACGCTGCGGAGAAAAAGGCAGGAAACGCAAGCATTCTAGACATCATCAAGCATGCTCGTGCAGAATGGCTTCAGTTGATGGTGGCTCTTGTTTTCTCTTTTGCTCGAGGAATGACTTTTCCCATTTTCTCCATAATCTATGGAAAAATGTTCAAGGTCTGTTAACCTAGTAATAGGTACGCTCCTTAGCACTTATATCTCCAGACGCTAACTGCTGGTACGGATGATCAAAAACTACATGGAGCAATGATGAATGCGATCTGGTTTACAATTCTTGGACTTTCTACTGGCTGCAGTACGATGATCTCAGGTTTTTTGTTTGGAAGATCCGGGGAATCCTTCACAAGAAGACTCAGACTATCTCTTTTTACAAACATAGTCAAACAGGTAATCTGAAGTTTATCCCAGTTAAGTAAATACCTGCCTTAAAACTTCTATTTTTTTTAGGATAGTGAATACTTTGATCATGACGATCACGCATCAGGCAAATTGACTACAAGACTTTCTACAGATGCTCCTAATATAAGAGCGGTAAACAGCTGAACTCAATTTACAAAAAGTGGAAAAAAAATGAAGTAGTCACAAGGAAATGTCAAAATATGAATCACTTGGGCTGAATGAAACCTCTGTCGGGTCCGCAGGTGGCAACATTCTCGGCACCTGCTGGCTTTGTTTTTGGGTATGGCCAGGAAACTTGCAATAGTGCTGCTGAAAGTAGCTTTGCTAAGCTCACTTCTTGAAAGCCTCTGTATTCTGTAGACCTCGCTGCAAATCTCATTTTTTCGACCAATCATATGCTTGTGTAACCAGGATCAAGCGTCACTGATTCGCACACGGTGGGAGTTGGAGAGGGAGAGAGCAAGGAGGAGAGGGTTCGGTCGTAAAAAGGGGTCAAAAATTAAAACCGTTTAACATTTTGAGTTAGGCAAACCTATCATTTAATTGCACAAATACCTCGCATGAGAATTGTAGACATTAATAACACTAACGCTATCGCTACATAAAAAATCTAAAATGCCGATAGGGGAGCAGAGAAATGGGAGGAGAGGGAAGAAGGGGACGAAGGCTTTTAAAACAAAGTTAATCATCCTTTTCAAAAAAGCACTATTTAAGCCGAGATTGCATCACTTCTGCAATTACTAGGGACAAGGGACGGTAAGATGAGCTAAAGCTACTAGTCACTAATTTTCTAGGATATTGTACAACCAGTGCTTCACCCGTCCTTCGGAGAGATGAAGAACTGAAATTTCTCGGAGGGTCAAATTCATAAATTCAATGCTTTAAAACATCTCTACCTACCTGATTATAAAGCAACTATATGTGCAACTCTGCTGAAAGTATTGAAACTTTGCACCTCTCAAAATTTTAAGGGCAAAGGCTTATATGCGTTTTATGACCATAGAGCCCGTTTATAGTAACTCGAGATGAACAACCAACTTACCACGTTTACACAACAAAATTGCTCATGTTTACTTTGTCTGCAATTATCCTGATAACGTTTGATAACTCTTAGACTTTCTTATGACAAATGAATAATTCGTGACAGACAGAGAAACACACGCACACAAACGCACACAGACAAACTTAACGCTTTATTATAAGTAATGATTTTAAAAGTAAGTGCTAATTATAGCCTTAAAAATGCCGTTTAGTGTATCACTACCTCTTCCCACTTAAATGGGACACAGCTGGGAATGGGTAAGTGACATCAGTGGCAAACTTTATCCAGAACTGTTTCTGGAAAAAGGATTATAAAGAGGTTTTTTACACATGTTTCGGGATTTTTGCCTTTTAACACAGATCGCTCTCAACACAACGCCCCGAGTGCCAATAAAAGCATTGAATTTCGATTTTATAAAGATCTAAACCTTTATTCTGTTTTCACTTTGAAAAATTAATTCCGCTCAAAAAATACATAGTGCTTGTGTTTCAAACATTCCTTAAGCTTGTTCATAACATTCTAACCAAATTGATGGATTTTGAGAACTTTACAAGCAGAAGAAAGAATTCGCTATGTTTAAAGGAAAAGAAGGGAGAAGGGATTCTTGCAGTGGCCAAGGAGGGAAAAGGGATGTGAATGGGGTCGATGTGACAGCACTTTTGACCCTAAGAGTCTCGCAGATAATGGGTTCTTCGAAACGTTTCGCGATTTTGATGTTTTGGCTTCAACAAGTTTTTAAAGATTCGAAGAAGTTTAACTAATGAAGAATACTGCATTTCTTTTGACTTGCTGCAACAACCGAAGTTGCAGTGATTTGCCTTGATTACTGCCCTTCAAAAATACTTACAATCCACTCATTTTTTATTATTAAATTTACAACAAAATTTATTAATTTTGAAAGATTTCCTTCTTAATTTCTGTGTCAAAAGGGCTTGTCATTTTACTTTTTTTTCTGTCAAGCGGCCGTTTCCATTTTTTTCAATATCATCTTTTCATATTTGGTGCATTGCGGTTACGGAGGCAAAGGACAGCCTTCCATTTAGTTTTTTCACTTCTATTCAATAATCTATGTGCAGATTATTTTTATTATTGTAGAGTAATTACATAGATTATGGAGTGATAGATGTAAGCACGTACTCTGGTACGTCAAGTTATAGTAATAGTGGTAGTCAATTCTCTTTCATTACATATCTGTGTGTGCTAGAAAGAAACATCTACTCATTCTTTCTTAATTTTTCTAGTTTTTTGAGGAAAGCTTTTCTCGAAACTTGGGACATATGGGAGAAGCGGACTGCTGGCTGCGTGAGGCTCTTCCTTGTGCCTATTTTTTCTTAATGCTGAACTTTTTCAAGCGGCAAATGTTTCCCACGCACCCATATATACATTGGTCTCATCAGCCCCTTTGAGCTTTATCTCATTAAAAGTATATTTTAATGATTGATTTCGTTCAAGGCTATCGACCAACGCCTCGCTGATGTCGTTGGAGCGGTATCCTCCATGATAGGGGGTATATCTATTGCTTTTTCCTATGGACCAAAAATGGCACCGATCGGAGTTCTGACTGCTGGGGTGATTATGCGAGAAACCCGTCAGCTTCTGCGCTGTCTTGCTCATCGTATCTGAATTTAGGCTTTGATTATATTACAAACGCTCGTAGCTCAGTATCTGAAGATACGTGGTCAGAAAGACGCAGTAAAAGCAGAAGAGCCTTCAAGGGTGAATAGCCTATATCCTTAATCCTACAATTATTTGCATTTGTAATGCTGAATTCAGTTGGCAGCCGAAGCGATACAGCAGCATAAAACTGTGCAATATCTTACTAAGGAGCAGTTCTTTGTAGACACGTTCATTGCGCAAATGAAGGGACCACACAAAAGAACAATTTTCCGAGGTACAAGATGCTTTTATAATTTTCTAAAGAATTCGCAGAGTGTATGTTATATATCTGTTTCTTAGAC